GCATGCGTTCATCAAGAAGACGCCATCTGATTTGTTTGCTGGGCCAATAACCCAGAGGTCGATGGATCGAAACCATCCTCTGCTAAGACATTTTAACTTCTATACATGCCTGAGCCCCCCAAAAAGGGGTAATATCCACCGCATGGGAGTGAAAACCTGAGGTCACTTGTTGCTCTCATAGCAGGCGTTCATCCAGAAGTCTCTATCTGGGATGAAAACATAAATCCACTTGTTGCTCTCATAGCAGGCGTTCATCTAGAAGATTCCTTCTGATTAGTTTGCTGGGCCCATAAACCAGAGGTCGATGGATCGAAACCATCCTCTGCAAAGACATTTTAAATTCCATACATGCCTAGACCCCCAAAAAGGGGCAATATCCACCGCATGGGAGTGAAAACCTAAGGCCACTTGTTGCTCTCATAGTAGGCGTTCATCGAGAAGACTCCATCTGATTTGTTTTAAAGACCACCTGAATGAGAGGGATAATTAATAAGGTAAGTGAGCGGCCCCGCGGCAGCGGGGCACTGGCCATCTGGGGTGGCTTAAAGCAGAGTGGCGCAGCGGAAGTGTGCTGGGCCCATAACCCAGAGGTCGATGGTTCGAAACCATCCTCTGCTAAGGAATTTTAATTCTATACTTGCGTGAGTCCCCCAAAAAGGGGCAATATCCACAGTGTGGGAATGAAATCATAACTCTCTTAGCAGGCGTTCATCGAGATGATTCCATCTGATTTGTTTGCTGGGCCCATAACCCAGAGGTCGATGGATCGAAACCATCCTCTGCTAAGGAATTTTAATTCTATACTTGCGTGAGTCCCCCAAAAAGGGGCAATATCCACCGCATGGGAATGAAAACCTAAGGCCACTTGTTGCTCTCATAGCAGGCATTCATCCAGAAGTTTCTATCTGAATTTTTTTTTAATTCAGGGATTGTGGGTTCGAGTCCCATCTGGGGTTGGCTTACAGCAGAGTGGCGCAGCAGCAGCGTGCTGGACCCATAATCCAGAGGTTGATGGATCGAAACCATCCTTTGCTAAGACATTTTAACTTCTATACATGCCTGATCCCCCCAAAAGGGGGTAATATCCATCGCATGGGAGTGAAAACCTAAGGCTGTTTGTTGCTGCCGTGTGTTTTGAGTTTGAGCTCTGTCAAGTTAATTCTTTGTCGTCTAATTTTTTATCTTAAAATCAATTTTATACACCATAATTTTCGTTTCTATAACGTGTGAATATATCCCCTATTGTATTCTACAACAAAAACAATCAGAGCGCCTTGTTATCACTAGTCCTATTTTTGACTTCCCGAGTCTGCTATTAACATATAGCCCGCTAGCATCGCCAGCGTGATTGCCGCTAATCTCACTTACATTACTAATACTCTATTCACACACATTACCATTGTTTTACTCACTGTTACTTGCTTTAATGGCGGATGTGTGTCTACCTTTAAGTGCAGGTGAGGACACGCAGCTCGAGCTGGAGACCGTGGAGAAGCAGATCCGCGACCTGGTGGCAAGTATTTTATTTTTGAATGTATTGTAATAATCTCTTCCCACATATTACAAACACTATGGACAAGACCACAGGAACCAGATGAGTCCTCTGCACAATGTGACTTTGCTGCAGCCTGAAATTGAACTGCTGGTTTTGTCTGGTCAGAGGAGAACTGGCCCCCCGACTGAGCCTGGTTTATCCCAAGGTTTTTTCTCCATTCTGTCACCGATGGAGTTTTGATTCCTTGCCCCTGTCGCCTCTGGCTTGCTTAGTTGGGGACAGCGATATTGGGATCCAGCGATATCGTTGACTTGATTGCAAATGATTGCAAAGATACTATTTAAACTGACCTGAGCTGGATGATGACATCACTGAATTCAATGATGAACTGTCTTTAACTGAAAAATGAGTGTTTAGTATTGTCATTTTGCATTATTGACACACTATTTTCCTAATTAATGCTGTTCAGTTGCTTTGACACAATCTGTATTGTTAAAAGCGCTATATAAATAAAGGTGACTTGACTTGACTTGACTTGTTGCTCTCATAGAAGGCGTTCATCCAGAAGTCTCTATCTGAATTTTTTTTAAATTCCACCTGAATGGGAGGGAGAATTAATAAGGCAAGTGAGCAAAAAGGGGCAATATCCACAGTGTGGGAGAGAAAACATAACCCTCTTAGCAGGCGTTCATTGAGAAGACTCCATCTGATTTGTTTTAAAGACCACCTGAATGAGAGGCATAATTAATAAAGCAAAAAGTGAGCTACCCCGTGGCAGCCCCAGTGGACTAATGGATAAGGCACTGCCCTTCTAAGCCAGGGATTGTGGGCGCAGCGGAAGCGTGCTGGGCTCGTAACCCAGAGGTCGATGGATCGAAACCATCCTCTGCTAAGGAATTTTAATTCTATAGTTGTGTGAGTCCCCCAAAAAGGGGCAATATCCACATTGTGGGAATGAAAACATAAGTCCACTTGTTTTTCTCATAGCAGGCGTTCATCTAGAAGAATCCTTCTGATTTGTTTGCTGGGCCCATAACCCAGAGGTCGATGGATCGAAACCATCCTCTGCTAAGACATTTTAACTTCTATACATGCCTGAGCCCCCCAAAAAGGGTTAATATCCATCGCATGTGAGTGAAAACCTAAGGCCACTTGTTGCTCTCATAGCAGGCGTTCATCGAGAAGAATCCTTCTCATTTGTTTGCTGGGCCCATAACCCAGAGGTCGATGGATCGAAACCATCCTCTGCTAAGACATTTTACCTTCCATACATGCCTAGACCCCCAAAAAGGGGCAATATCCACCGCATGGGAGTGAAAACCTAAGCCCACTTGTTGCTCTCATAGCAGGCGTTCAACGAGAAGACTCCATCTGATTTGTTTTAAAGACCACCTGAATGAGAGGGATAATTAATAAGCAAGTGAGCTACCCCGCGGCAGCCCCAGTGGCCTAATGGATAAGGCACTGGCCATCGGGGGTGGCTTATAGCAGAGTGGTGCAGCGGAAGAGTGCTGGGCCCATAACCCAGAGGTCGATGGATCGAAACCATCCTCTCTTAAGACATTTTAACTTCCATAAATGCTTGAGCCCCCCAAAAAGGGGCAATATCCACCACATGGGAGTGAAAACCTAAGGCCACTTCTTGCTCTCATAGAAGGCGTTCATCCAGAAGTCTTTATCTGAATTTTTTTTTTAATTCCACCTGAATGGGAGGGAGAAGAGTGGTGAAGCGGAAGAGTGCTGGGCCCATAACCCAGAGGTAGATGGATCGAAACCATCTCCTAAGGAATTTTAATTCTATAGTTGCGTGATTCCCCCAAAAAGGGGCAATATCCACAGTGTGGGAATGAAAACATAAGTCCACTTGTTGCTCTCATAGCAGGCGTTCATCGAGAAGAATCCTTCTCATTTGTTTGCTGGGCCCATAACCCAGAGGTCGATGGATCGAAACCATCCTCTGCTAAGACATTTTAACTCCCATACATGCCTAGACCCCCAAAAAGGGGCAATATCCACCGCATGCCTAAGCCAGGGATTGTGGGTTCGAGTTCCATCTAGGGTGGCTTACAGCAGAGTGGAACAGTGGAAGCGTGTTGGGCCCATAAGCTAGAGGTTGATGGATCGAAACCATCCTCTGCTAAGACATTTTAACTTCTATACATGCCTGAGCCCCCCAAAAAATGGTAATATCCATCGCATGGGAGTGAAAACCTAAGGCCACTTGTTGCTCTCACAGCAGGCGTTCATCGAGAAGACTTCATCTGATTTGTTTTAAAGACCACCTGAATGTGAGTGAGCTACCCCATGGCAGCCCCAGTGGCCTAATGGATAAGGCACTGGCCTCCTAAACCAGGGATTGTGGGTTTGAGTCCCATTTCAGGTGGCTTACAGCAGAGTGGCGCAGCGGAAGAGTGCTGGGCCCATAACCCCGAGGTCGATGGATTGAAACCATCCTTTGCTAAGACATTTTTACTTCTATACATGCCTGAGCCCCCCAAAAAGGGATAATATCCATCGCATGGGAGTTAAAACCTAAGGCCACTTGTTTCTCTTATAGCAGGCGTTCATCCAGAAGTCTCTATCTGAATATTCTTTTTAATTCCAGCTGAATGAGAGGGAGAATTCATAAGGCAAGTGAACAAAAAGGGGCAATATCCATAGTGTGGGAGTGAAAACATGACTCTCTTAGCAGGCCTTCATCGAGAAGACTTCATCTGATTCGTTTTAAAGACCACCTGAATGTGAGTGATCTACCCTGTGGCAGCCCCAGTGGCCTAATGGATAAGGCACTGGCCTCCTAAGCCAGGGATTGTGGGTTTGAGTTCCATCTAGGGTGGCTTACAGCAGAGTGGCGCAGCGGAAGCATGCTAGGCCCGTAACCCAGAGTACATGCCTAGACCCCCAAAAAGGGGCAATATCCACCGCATGGGAGTGAAAACCTAAGGCCACTTGTTGCTCTCATAGTAGGCGTTCATCGAGAAGACTCCATCTGATTTGTTTTAAAGACCACCTGAATGAGAGGGATAATTAATAAGGCAAGTGAGCTACCCCGTGGCAGCCGCATTGGCCTAATGGATAAGGCACTGGCCTCCTAAGCCAGGGATTGTGGGTTCGAGTTCCATCTGGGGTGGCTTACATCGAAGTGGCGCAGCGGAATCGTGCTGGGCCCATAACCCAGAGGTCGATAGATGAAAACCATCCTCTGCTAAGACATTTTAACTTCTATACATGCCTGAGCCCCCCAAAAAGGGGTAATATCCACAGCATGGGAGTGAAAATCTAAGGCCACTTGTTGCTCTCATAGAAGGCGTTCATCCAGCAGCTTTCACTGGACACAAGTGTCAGGATGGCCGAGCGGTCTAAGGTGCTGTGCTCAAGCTGGGGAATAATAGTCCGTCAAAGGTGGGGAAGAAGGGAAGAAGAGAGAGAAGGAAGAAAAAGAGAAGGGGAAAAAAAGAAAGGAGGAAAGAAAGGGTGAAATTTGACGTTTAAAGACCGTTCTTCCTTAGCATGTGCGCAGTGATACATTTTCCGGTTCCTTCCTGCGGGAAAATCGCGCATTTATATTACACTGTTTCCTATTGCAGGTGCTCACCAAGACCGGGGTTCGAATCCAGCTAAAGACAACTTTTTATAATATTGTTAATTTTATTAAATACATGCAATTTCAAGGTTAATAAAATGTACATATGTAGTTAGTTTGATATTCTTTCATGAAAATTAAACTATACCAATGGAAATGTGTTTTGTTGTTATTATTAGTTATTTAGTAGTTGTACTGATATTATTCTGATTAAGCATTTTCTTTAGGTTACATTAATTCAAGACACTTACAAACATGTTATTTCTAATGAAAAAAAGATGCAAAATAGTAATTAATATGCTGAAAAATGTCTGTGACAAGAATGACAAAATGCAAATTATCTTTTTATAGACATGTTCTATTGTTGCGGTGTACTGATGGAAATTGTTATATTAAAGCACAAATAAAAAAAAAAAGCAATCATTTCTCAATTTTTTTTTATTTTACAATTATGCTAACAGAACAGTAATGAATATTAAATTAAATAA